CGGTGGGGCTGGATGCGTTCTTCAAGGAGGGTCTCACAGCAGGTGTGGACCAGCTGAGTGGGGGGTCAGGCCAGGTCTGCTCACCTCCCCTGCAGAGCCCTGAGCTCAGTGAGAAGCTCACATCTAGACGGGAGTTCCCAACCATGGGAGATTCTGCAGCCGCCCCGCCCCCCCCCAAAGAGGACAACTAGCAATGGCCACAGATGTTTGTGTTGGTCGAAATTTGTGGGCTGGGGGGTCTGGGATGCTGTTGACATCTAATGAGTGGGGGCCAGGGGTGCTACTAAGGATCTCCCTCCCCGACCCCAGTGCTCAGGAGGGCCCCCGAACACATACCTCTCCAATGGGAACAGCCAGGAATAGTCAGGGTGCGGAGAGAAGCAGGAGCGTCCAGCCCTCCCAGACCTGGCGTTCCTCGTGTTTTGTGTGCAAAGGATGAAACTACGCGGTGCGTGTAAATATTCCTAGCACCGCTCCCGGCCCAAAGGAACCCAAAAGTACACCCAGTGACTACACTCCTTCATGACCAGTGATTGCATTGCTGCCCCTGGGGGTTCCGAGGCTGTGAGTCTTCATGGGCACAGACAGCCTCCTCATTCCCCCTTGGAGCGGCTGGTGGGTTCAAACTGCTAGCCTGGCCCTGCGCAGCCGGCCATATAACCCACGGCTCCACCAGGACTCTGGAGCCCATCTTCCACAGCGGACATAGATTTGAGCACCAAGGAACTGGGACACTAGGGGCTTCAGGGCAACGAGGTGGTCTGAGAGGAACAGGGTGGCCTCAGGAAAAGCATGGGGTGGGGAGGCGGCACACACAGGAACAGGGGGTGTTTCGGGGAACGGAGTGGGGTGCAGGGGGAGGGGTGCCTTGCCTTCTCCTGGGTGACCTCAGGCCTGTGGTTGTTGCTGTCTTGCACGTGGATGTTCACGGGGGCTGTGGATGGCCGCTGTGGTGTCCCCGGGTCTCGCGCGGTGACCAGGAGTGTGAACACAGGAGCAGTCTGCAGGGGGCGGGAGGACACGCACAGTGCTTGAGAGACAAGAAAGGGGAGCGTCCGCAAATCCAGGCACGCCTGGCTCCCCGCCAAACTAAGACAGAGACAGGTCGAGCCGGGGCTCGTCCTGTCTTTAGGGAAGTCCACATCACCTGGCATCCCAAGCACCCTGCGAACCGTATCTGCCCCGTTGCGCAGTTGACCCGGAACACACTCTCTCCCAGCGAGGGCGACTGGGAATCGCGGATGTAAAGGACTTGTTGAGAGTGTTTGCCTGATCCAGGTCAACGGTGGACAGCTGGAAAAGAGGCACGTCTGGAAGGAATTTAAAGAATGGTTGCTGTTGGCTGACCCAGTGGACTAAGGAGGGCCCTTTGCTAAGTGCCACAGGGCGAGCCCCGAGGTGCCGACATGTCCAAGCGGCAGGCGTCAGAGCAGGTCCTGGAGGCACCGGCTGTTCTCCCCGCTCCACGGGAGACAGGGCTGGCAATCTGCTACAGAAGAGCCACAGCCTTCAAACCTGCAGGGTGGTGTCACTGTGGCATGTGGGCTGCCCGCTGCGGCCGCAGCAACTAGCAACAACACAGACCCAGTAGAGGAAATGCAAGTGGAGGCTTCGGTGTGGAGTCAAGAAGAACTTTCCAGGCACGGTTGCAGATGCCGAGGAAATCGTAAGAGGAAAATGGATGGATCGTACTGTACAATGCATGGCCACTATATAAACACACACATATGTGTATATGCCATATACATGTTAAATGTTATCTGCATATAGCCTAGAAGGAAAAAGAAAGCATATTTCAAATCTATACATGGCAGAGATGGAAGAGGGTCCTTGATAGAGAATAAGTAGGTGAGTGGGTGTGGCCACGCAAGTAGAGTATGGCCATCCAAATAGGGATTGGTCTGTTTTGCCATCCCTCGGGGTATAAGAGAACCATCTGAGAAGCCAGAAGGGAAAGAACCCCAGGGCCAAGGTAAGCAAGAAGCCACAAGTGGATTGCGTGTGACATCCCTGTCTGGAGTGGTGGAGCCCCCAGAGGCCACATAACTGAGACCATGGGGCAAAGCAGAGGGCAACACCAAGGTCTGGAAGCTCCAGGTGGGCTTCCTGGCCCACAAAGCAAGGCCAGAGGCCAAGGGCCCACGTGGCTGAGAGGCTGAGGGCCAGAGAGAGACTCGGCTGCTAGCTAAAGGGAGGCACTGCTGTGGACCAGATGTGGACCTGCGTGTGTTATGATCACGGGCGTGTGGTGAGCTGTTAGCTCCCCTGAGTTAAACACCACAAATACGAGGCTTGCCTACACATTCTGGGTGGCCAGAGGAGGTCAAACGTGGCCCCCGTGGCTTTTACTTGGGAGGTAGGGTCAAGACGAAGGTGACAAGCACACCAGCAGGAACAGGGAAACGGAGGAAAGGGAGGCAGGGACTATGAGGAAGAGAAACAGACAAGGCCAAGGGACCTATGGAAAGACTCGGGGAGCAGGTCTGAGCATTGACCGAACACCAACAGTTCTGGGGACACTCTCGTGTGTCCATGGGCAAAGAGGCCAGGCCCTCCCCATCGTGTGTGCCGGGAACCCACGATCCTCCTTTTAGGAATGCCTGGGGGTCATGGGGATGGGAAGTGAGCTTGACGGAGTCTTCCTTGGAACATATTTTCTGAAACCAACAAAAGTTGGCGGCAAGACCGAGGTCCAGCATAGGAGGCTGGGTAAGTCCCTAACACACCCACGAAAGCAAACATGCAGGGCAGATGCCGTGGAAAACGCCAGCAGGTTGAAAGGGTACACGAGTGGCTTTTAAAGAGAGCATTCATAAACATACACTCATTTAAAACAAACGAACAAAACGCCCATGTTGTGTGGCAGCGTGCCATTGAGACACATGCGTACGTTGTAGCAAAGGTAGCTACGCGAGGAAACACTTAACTGTCTGCTTCCACGCAGATGCATTTGTGATGTTACCTAAAAATCTATGCACAGATGCACACATGCGAGAGGGCTCCTAAACATTCGTGGGACATGGAATCGAGGGCTCGTGGCGTTTTCCCACAAGCTTGCCAAGCCCTCTGTTATATGTACAGCTGTGGGGGTGTATGCACTCAGGCATGAGGGGCAATGGAGAAGACAGGGATTATGGCTCTTGGGGGCCTGCACCTCCGTGGTGGCACCAACAGGCTTTCTTGTGTTTTGGCAGTCCCTTGACATGTCCGAGGCTAAGGACTCATCTCCTTAGAAAAGCGAGGAACAACGCATGCATGCACCTTTGCTACTGGAGGACAGGTGTGCAGGGTCTGGAAGGAAGAGATTTTGTGTGTCACCTTGTTGACAGTTCGGAGAGGAGAGACTTGCAGGAATATTCAGAATGTGTCGCCCAAAAGCCAAGGCCAAACCCGCTGTCATCAAAGCGGCTTTGACTCCTGCTGCCCCTGTGCCTGCCAAGAGGACCCGAGTTCTATGGGGTTTTCGCATCTGTGACCTCCTGCAGGCAATCTGAGACCTGTCTTCTCCCTCTGTGTTTGGCTTTATTGATAGATTGGCCTTGACAGGTCAGGAGAACAAGGGGACAGCGTTCCGTGGAGTTCCACTCAGCCCAGGCAGTTTGCTCTGATCCAGGGCCCTGACCTCTGACCCATGAGCAGTGCAATGTCCCTTGAGGTCCAGGTGGACCAAGTTCCCCATCAAGAGCCCCAGCGAGACAACCATCACAGAGCAGGTGGGAGGAGGCTCAGCCCCGGCACTCACTAGCTTCCTGGCTCTCCTTCACCTCGACGTCCAGTACCTCCTTCGAAAACTTGGGCTCGTGGTCATTGACATCATTGACCTTGATAGTGACCATCAAGGATCTATCCAGGATCTTCCCTGTGGAGCGACTTGCCACGTCAAAGCACACCTGGGGCGTGGGGGAGGGGGGAGTGGCAGAGAATGGTGTTAGTGCTGCGGGTCACTGACATAGTGACACTGGTCACATAGCTGGAGGGGGCCTGTGTGTTTCCTGCCTGTCGCCCTCACTAGTGGGAACGTCCCCTGAGGACTCATCCTTTCACCGTGAACCCCAGATGCCAAGTGCACAGCGTTGGTGCACACTGTGGCTGCTCTTGTTGGGAGACATCCATTCCAACTCGTTGCTGCCCGGGTGACAGAGGACAACTGCCCTACAGGACATTGTTTTGGGCTTTTTTTTGGTGGGGGATGAGGGGCGGCTCTAGTCTCTGTAGAAATAGATCGCCTGGTCTCTGTCCTTCAGAGCCGATAGGTGCGTTCAAACCACTAGAATCGTGGTGAGCAGCTGAAGGCTTAACCAAGGCACCACCAGGGCTTCTTGGGCACAGACCAAACCCCTAGACAGCAATTCCATTCTGGCTCGAAGGAGAGACCCGAGCTGCCCAGGTCAGGCTTCCCAGCTGCCGTCTTTATGGGAGCAGAGCAGCGGGCAGTTGGGAACACTAGCCCATCTGTGGGCAGCTGACCATGTCCATCCCTGCACCCCTGGGACACCTCATCCTAGAGCAGGTGGGCAGTACCCATGTGAAGATGGGAGCATCATTAATAAGAGCGGTGGCCCAGCCTCGGGGGCTTGTCCTTGGGGGGCTCCCAGCACTGAGCCCTGCATGCGACGGAGCCCTGGGCCCTCACAGGGACTCAATGGGCTGCTTGCACCTGGTACCTTCACCCTTCAGCTTGGAGGCTTGGCGTGCCAGGGCTGCTGTCACAGAGCCCCACAGAGGGCATGCTGCCAACAACCACCATTTCTTCCCACTCCACGAGGCTGGACGTCCAAACCAGGGGGTCAGCCGTTTCAGTTCTCTAACACTTCTGAGATGGAAACCATTCCCTGCCGTTCTCCCTGCTCTCGGGGCTGCCACCAATCCTTGATGGCTTGGAGCTGCTTCTTCAGCTGGCACCGCCCCACCCCCACCCCCAAACCCCACCATGTGTGCCTGTGTTCATGGCTGTCTTCCTCTTCTATAAACCATCACTCATATGGATCAGGATGCGCGCGCGCGCACACACACACACACCTGGTGTAACCAATTTAACCCCACCACCATCCAGTCCTGGTGGTGGTATGTGTTTGGCTGCTAAACCTCAAGATCAACAATTCAAGGCTGCCACGTGCTCTGGAGAGAAAGGCAGGGCTTTCTACCCCTGTGAAGAGTTAGCTTGTTGAACACCCACGGGAATAGCTCTACCCTGCCCTACAGGGTCGCTAAGTGTCAGAATCAACTCGACGTGGTGAGCGTGAATGCTCCGAGCCATCGGGTCAGGCCCAGCTCATGGCGGCTGTATGGGACAGAGGAAGGCCGTCCCGAAGGGCGTCCTGGCGGTGGTGTTGACAGGTGCAGGGGCCACATCTCCCTCCCGGGAGTGCCAGTGGAATACTCCCCGCCAACTTTTGGTCGACAGTTGAGGGTTCAGCACTGAGCCCACCAGGGCTCCTCTGATGACCTCATTCATGCATTGACAACATCTTCAAAGAGTCTAGTTCCCCCAGTGATGCCTCACTCACAGGTGCAAGGGTAAGCTAGCACCTCAACACACTTTTGGGTGTGTGGGGCGCGGGGGGAGGGGGGGAGAAAGGGACTGTGGCAAAGACAGATTCAAAAAGCCCCCATCAGGCGGCCCATCAAGTTGGTGCCTGCTCATAGTGACCCCTCCCTGGGGTTTCCGGGACTGAATCTGCACCGGAGAGGGCTGCCTCACCAACCACAGACCTTGTGGGCAGCAGCCCAGCGTCTAGCCCACAGTGCCACCAGACAGGGCAGCCCAGATTCCAGCCCAGGGACCGTGCAGGGAGACCCAGCACAGCCATCTGGTTCTGCACAGTCTCTCTGACCCCAGAGCCCTGAGCAGGAAGCCCCCTGGTGCTTCGGGCAGCAGCCCCGCTCCTGTTCTCCTCAGAGCCCCCCTGGGCTTCTCCCCTGCTATGCTGGGCACTGCTCTGGACCTTCTGTCCCTGGAGACCTACTGCTTGCTCCATGCTTCCACCGTGATGGGCCCACCAGGCATTACAATGGCAGCCGGGCTGGAAGTCCGCTGCGGCCCAGGGGTCCAGGGCTCTGCCTCTCCCTTGGAATACAGAAGGGCACAAGGTGCTCCCACCTTGCACCAGCTCTGCTTCGGGGGACCCTGTCATACATTTTTCAATTTCTGTGCAAAGCAAATTGGCTTCCTCGTCTACTGCGCGCCATGCCGTCCTCCATAATTTATGACTGTGCTGCCCTTATTCTGCTCCTTCCTTAATCACCCTGACTTCTGGCCCTCAAACGGTGCCAACCGTAAAGGCTTCCACTTAAAAACCGCCACAGGTCTGCTTTCTGTTTGTGAGTCTTCCCCGTCCCATTTATTACCCTGAAAGCTACATCAGAGCCTTCTGTTCCATTAGATGCTGGAGAGGCATGAGTGCTGTTTATTCTCGGGCAAGGCGTTCCAGAATTTCCCGGGGAGTCCGGGTGGCAGTGGAGAAAGGACACGCCCTGACTATGTCCTGGCCCCAGAGCTCAGATCCAGCCCTTTGTCAATGCCTCCGGACTTACACCCTTGGATAAACAAACCCCGGCGCATTCGCATGCAGGATCGCAGAGGGCGGTTTGAAATGACAGGCGAAGGGCCTAGGCCCTCACGGAGCCATCCTCGATGCCAAGCCCACAGCATGAAACTGTCGGCATGCATGCTTACAACGACGAAGGGTGACCCCGTGGCGATGACAACAAACAAGTAAATATTTGGAGGGCTGCAAATGGATGTATTTGCATCCATTGGCTCTCGGCTGTATTTGCCTCCTGTGATGCCGGCGTGGTTTGGGCATGAATTGACAGAGGTCTCATTCAAAGTCAGACTGTTAAAAATTATTTTTAAGGTTTTCCACTTTCTTCTCTGAATGGCCTATGGGAACCAACCCTTCCATCGCCTCGCCGTCTTTCAGAAACCCCTGCAGGCATTTGGCATCCAGCTGCGTCATGCAAACCAAAAGTCAGCCCTCGGCGCCCGTCTGTTCCGACTGCTCGTGGCCCTACGGGCGGGGAATGGATCGGCCCGATGGGGGTTCTGAAGCTGCCACTCTTTATGGAATCGGACTGCGGCAGCTTTCTCCCGGGTGGAGTCAAACCACGGACCAAGGCCGAACCCACTAGGCCACCAGGGCTCCTTTCCGCAGCACAGAGTCCCACGTGAACACGGCTGTGCCAGCCCACAACGCGAGCAGGCTTCAAAGAGCTCGTGGAGGACGTACTTTCTCTTTTCATTCCATTTTTCCATAAACTCTTAGACGCCCTCTCGTCCATCACAAAATGTTTTAAAGCCTGGCAATCAAACAAGCCCAAAAGGAGCACTAAATGCCCTGCCCCATCCTGGTGGGACAACGCCCCTCCCTATTGTCTCTGAGGACCTGGTGTTTCAATGTGGCCCTTGGGGTTATAACTAGGAACTACCATGGGGGGTGCCACATTCTGCTCTCTGCCCAGAATGACTGAATCCGAATGTGCATTTTAACACCATCTGGTTGCTAGGCAACCCATTTGCATCTTAAAAACTGGGAAGAGAGTTTTTAAGTCTAGGGGGTCCCCCTTACGGCCACTCCATGTGCCTTCTTTTTAGCAGACACTGCCAATTCTGGGTCAAGATTTTATATGGAGGAAGAAGACCTAGAAAGTTTTGAGCAATACATTTCTCTTTGTCTTTTGGGTAATACATGTTTCTATGTCTTTATGGAGTTTTGCATAATTTCTGTTTAAAATTCAGAGGTAAGAATATTTCTCCCATGCTGGTGGCATGGGTTGGGGGGTAGGGGTTGAGCCGCTAGCCACAGATCAGTGGTTCAAACCCACCAGCTGCTCTGCAGGAAGGAGATGAGGCTTCTTCTGCAAAGGTTTCAGCCTTGGGAACCCTGGAGGGCAGTTCTACTCTGTCCTCATGGGTCTCTGCGTCAGAATCCACTCAAGGGCAGTGGGCTTTGCTTTGTTTCCCATTGTTCTGTGTGATGGTTTTGGAGGAAAGTGTCCGAATTACCGTTTTCAGATGCTGAGCAGCACATTCCTGCAGGAAGGGATTCAGAGGAGCCTTGGTGGCACAGTGGTTAAGCTTTGGGCTGCTATCTGTCCGTGTGTAATTCAGGGACGTTGGTGGCACCCGTCAAACTGAGTAGTTCCCAAGCACCAGCCACTGGGGGTGGGGAGACAGATCTTTCTTTTCCCAGGAAGAGTGACAGCCTCGGAAACTCACGGGGCAGTTCTACCCTGTCCTGTAGGGTCACCGTGAGCCCGTGAGCCGGCACCGACTTCATGGCCGTGAGTTGAGCTCAAGGCGATGTTCAAGTTCAAACCCTCTGTACCTGAGACGCGGAGTGCACACAAGCCAAGGAACTCCTGGGGTGATGGCAGTCCGCAGAGGCAGGGAGAGAGGAAGGGACAGCTTCTCCCCGGGAGCCTCCAGCATCGTGTCTGGGATGCCACTTCCAGAGCTGGGAGGGGATCGATGCCTGGGGGGGGGGTGTCCTTCTTTAGGGTGGCCCAGGAAACTGGGGGGTTTCTTTCAATGTCCTTTTCCTGGTGCAGCTTCTGGACCTGTCTTCTCAGGCAACCCTCACACAGGGCTGGGACAAAGATGAGCTAGCACGTGAGCCCACCCTGGAGCACCTGCCTGCACCTGAGCAAGTCCTGGGGGTGTGTTCGGGGCAGCCCGAGGGGCCTGGGTGTGGCGTGTGGCTCATCTCCATGGCTTTCAAACTGGAATCAGCTCATTGTAGAGGAGTCCTGTAGCTCTAGTCCCAAATGCTTTCCAACATCCCAGTTGGGTTGAGATATGGGTCATTAAAACAAAGACTACCAAAAATAATTATAAAGCAGCCCCCTCTCTTGTCCCGCACCGTATAAAATGACAACGTTAAGCTCAGCATCCAACGCGCACAGCCTTTGAAAACTTGTCACAGTGTCAACGTGCAGAACACATCAACCTCCCAGTACCAGGGACACGGTTGCTTCCAGTAAGGCTTATCAATGACAGTACTTCTACCAAAGGAGACAAACTATTACACTGCCATTGTGGGGGCCTAGAGAGCCGAGTGGAAGCTCCACTTTTGAGTGTCCAAGGTGGTCAACCATTGCAGGAACAAACAGCCTCATCTTTCTCCCTCGGAGCCACAGGTGGGGTCGAACTGCTGGCCTCGTGGTTAGCAGCCCGACACGTAACCACTGTACCACTGGGCCTCCCTCTTCTCACAAGAGCTTTACGATAAATAGAGCCTGGCATATATAAGAGTTGAGGTACCGTGAAAAATGGTGTCTTTTCTCTATCCACGGAGCGGTGAACATATACTTTCCCGGTGTCCCAGTCCATAGAGAACAGGTTGACCTCTGGGTCTTCATCCACCCCAGGCCCGCTGACTAGATACATCAGTTCCGCATCATCACACGGTTTAAACTGCTGGAAGAGAAATCATTTTTAGAAGAGGGTGAGAAGAAATTGTTAGGCAGAGCAAGAATCTAGGTTAACAACCAAATGCATCTTCAGTGAGCGGCCCCCAGTATTCCACCTCGGGGGCTTATCCTGACAAAGACACGGCAGGCCACGTGTGTGCGGCCCAGGGACTCCTGCTGCTGCCCGCTGGGCGTGCAACCATGAAGCCCATAAAAACACAAAAGTCCAAAGTCATGGAAAGGGCCATCCAAGGGTGAAGAGTCCTTGATAAGAGAAGACCTCCCCGCGAGGTGGATTGGCGCGTGACCGCAACACCGGCTTCAAACGGAGAAGGCTGGTGATGTCTGGTCCTGCTGTGCCTGGGCGCTGACACACGGCGCCTCCCAAGCTCTGGCAACGCGGGGCTTCCCTGCGCCTCACTGCAGTTAGAGGAGAGCTGTGTCTGTGTTCTAATGTGTGGCTGTGGTGAGTTTCCACGGCAGCCAGTGCACCGACTCAGCAGAGACTGCCTCTTTAATTCAGGGACGTGGGTGGCCCCCGTCAAACTGGGCAACCTTCCCTCCCTCCTTGGCTGAATTGGACATCCCCCCACCCACCCCCGTGAACATAAGCTCACTGTCCCCGTCAGGGCCCATCGAGCCTTCCAGTTGATCCCACAGAGAGATCTGGAAAGAGGGCATCCGTTAAACAGGAAGGGCAGGTTGCGCAGCAACACGCGGGGAGTGGGGCCTGCGTCGTCCTTAGCCCGGATGCACATTCATGCGTGGGTGAAGAAACGACTGGAAGATGCGTGCCCGTGTTTACTGCGCAGGACCCCTTGAGGCACCGAAGACAAGAGTCCCACAGCTGGCATTTAGGAAGGGCTTAGAAGGCACCCGTTTACAGTACGCCTTGCACGTCCTAACCCATTGGCACCATCAGGTGGCGTCAAGTTGTTGCTGACTGGACTCATAGCAACCCCCATGCAACAGAAGGAAGGAGTCGGGGAAGGAAGGGAGGGAGGGAGGGAGGGAAGGGGCTGTCCCTTCGGAGGGAGTCGCCAAGGAGAACCTTAGGAATCGCAGCAGAACATTGTCCTGGCCTGAGTTACATCACCTTTCAAACATCCCCGTCAAGTGGGTGTTGTCAGGGATCGGCCGTGCAGGTGAGGAAACAGGAAGCATGCCTTTGACACATGAGGACATAACCCATCTGGAACACACACCTGCTGAGCCACCGACCCTTGGGAGCCACCATTCCATCGGGGGTGGGGGGTGGGGGTGGGTGCTCCAGAGCGTGCTGGGCTTTCCATGTCCCTGTTTGGCTCTAGAGTGAGCAGTGGGCGCTACTCTTATAAGCATCAAAACACTATGAATTACCTACATATTTCTCTAAGGCACATAGGAAGTCAGAACTGGTCAGAAATTGTCCACTCAATTTAAAACCCAAAGGCCCACAGGACCAGGCAGTTGATGAGTATGGAGGATATAGGCCAAGAGTAATTTGGCATGCTCCTGTGTCTCCCCCAACACCCCCAGTAATCTCTGACCCTCTGCTATCAGCACTGGCTGGCCAGGCAGTAGGGAAGGGTGGGGACTCTGGCACCCTAGGAAACATAAGCCTCATTTATGATAGCTACATAATTTGATGCCAACTTGATCACTAAGTGTAGGGGTGGAGTCTAGCCTGTCAAGCAGGTCACACCCTGAGGATGCCTCCATGTGAGTGTGGCCTTCTCATGGGAATTCTGGGAACTTCCTCTCTTTCTCCCTGGAGGTGGGCCTCTCTCTCTCTCTCTCTCTCTCTCTCTCTCTCTCTGCTTTTGTCTTCCTGTTGACAAGCCACATGAAGCCACACTGAGACCTGAAAGAGCCCTGGAGATGCTTCCAGCCCACTAGATCCACAAGACTTTGCACCCACTGGCCTGTGATCTCCCTGCATTTTGTATCATTGCATGTGGCGCAACGATCAGCGTCAGACTTCTGAACGAGTATCAGACGCGTGGACTTGATCTGGACTGGGCTGAGATGTTTTCTTGATATGCAACTACTCCTGGATAGAACCTCTCTCCTACACAGATCTGAGTGCCTCTGGATGTTTCTCTAGTCGGGCAGGTCCAACACTCCACCTGAGTCGTGCCACGTGGGAAGGCAGAGCCCATGCACACATTGCAGGGTCTCCAGATATAAGGACCAGAGAGTTTTAAAGTCTCCCTACTGGGAAATAATAAAACGTTGCCTTTAGAAGGCACAAGCTGGGTTAAGAGAGCTTGGTGGGCAGACTGGGATCGGCCTGCCTGCTGCCAGCTGTGGGTCATGTTCACACACACACACACACACACTCGCCCAGGGAAGGGACTGGTTGAAGTCAGGTGCCCCAGAGCCCATCCCTCACCAGCACATGTCCTCCCAGGGCTGTGGTCAGTCACAGAGGCGACCGAGTGTCTTACCTCACCCACTCCCTTGGGGAAGGGACCTGGGTCTTCCTCCTCCAGCTCCGAGGGGATGAGGACTGAGCCTCTCTTGATTCGATGGGGGGGCCAACGGCTCTCCCCCTGGAAGTGAGAATAACAGCGGTCAGAAGAAGGTGGCAGGGACATCACGCCTACCAACCCCACTGCCATCTAGCTGGTTCGGACTCAGCGACCCTGGTTGGGCAGTCAAACTGGCCCTGTGGGGTTCCGAGACAAAATCTCTTCAGGGACAGACAGCCTCAACTTTCTCAGGCAGAGGACCTGGTGAGTTTGAACCATGGGCCGTGCAGTTAGGAGCCCAGAGTTCAATCCCTGTCCGCCAGGGCCCTTGGAGTTCATTGTAGCAGGCTCACGTTACATGCGGGCACCTTTTCAACAGCTGCCAGCACGTGGAAATCACAGTCCTATTCTCTAAAGAGCTTTGGAGTCACCCCTAAATGGGAGACACCTGCCATCTGATGACACGCATGTCCCCAGCGGTGCTGGTGGCACAGTGGTTCAAAGCCCAGGTACTAACAGAAAAGTCAGTGGTCCCAACCTACTGGCTGACACCCCCCCCACCCCCACCCCCACCCCGGGAGAGAAGACCCCAGTGACCTGGTCCACAGAGACTGCCACCTGGCAAACACATCCCACTCTGTCCTGTAGGTGGCTGTGGGTCAGCGCTGACTGGACAGACCCTGCCCACAGCATCCGGCTCCAGCACGCTGCTTGGGCGGCATACCTGGGAGCTCCTAGGCATGGCATCCTGCATGTCTGGCTTTCTTCCTCAGCACTCAGTGAGACCCGCCAGTCTCGCTGCTTCTCACCGGGCTCTGTTCACGTGGACCGCCACGTGACTAACTCGTCTCAGACACTCGTCCTTCATGATGGCGGCGGGGCGCCCGGGTGGTGCACGTGGCGTGTGCCAGGTGACTGACTGACAGATGGACAGTTTGGATCTGCCAGCCCCTGGGAGATGAGGCTGGCTGCTTCCATCAAGATGAGAGCGTTGGAAACCCCACGGGGCAGTTCTGCTCTGCCCTAGAGGGTCACCATGAGTCGGAGCCGACTTAGAGTAACGCACCCTCTACAAATCTCAAGAGTCTAGACACCACATCTCAGCGCAGTTGCATGTTCTACCAGCCCAAAATAGACGAGGCACTGCAGGATTTGAACTTGCAACCTAACCTTGAAGTGAGGCGCGACCTCGCTTGGCTGATGAGGAGACAGGATTCCAGACTCCACCTGCATTTGATCCGCAAGCTCGTCTTCTCCTCGCTGGAAGCTGTTGGAGACACTGACCTTTAAAGCAAGAATGGCATTAATTAGCAGAGAATATACTTTATGAGCACCAGAGCAGAACTGCCTGGAGTCACACGAATCTTTCAGGATTCCAAAGAAAGTGGAGAAAAACAAGAACTCTGCTCCAAAGCAAATCCCGATATAAATCCCAGAAAAAATACAGTGTCGAACACGTTTTGTTCTGATAAATATAGTTGCTTGCTCTCAACATCTCGGTTTGTGACTCCCACTTCTCCTCTGTCATGAAAGGAGAATTCACCAAAAGAATCCTGGGACACGATTGAATACCCATGGTCGTGGATGTTAGCGGCCACGGGGTCGGTTCCAACTCACGGTCACCGCCAAACCCACCTGTATCCTTCTCACCCCACAGGACAGAATAGAACTGCTCTGAGGGGCTCTGGGGCCACAAGTCCTTACAGAAGCAGATCTGTGGCTTCGAACCACTCACCTTCCACTTAGTGGTCAACACCTAACCCTCGGTGCCACCAAGGCTCCTCTGGTGGCCTGTGTGTGCATGACAGAGAGAAGTGCTCCCTGGTCCCATGCCATGACCACGGTCCTTTGTATATTTGAGCCCACTCGGTCTGACGCGATGGAAACTTCCCTCGTTCTCACTGCCCCTCTGCTTTAGCAAAGGCAATGCCCTTCTCCAGGGGCTGGCCTTTCCTGAGAACGCGTCCGAACCAGACAAGGCGACAGGTGAGGGCGCGAGCTGTGTGGTTTGCTCGAGCTAAAGATAATGATGGCGCCTTCCTGTCATTGCCTGTGTGTCTGCTGGCCCCAAGGAGAACACTTTTGAACGCTGCGTGGCAGGGCGTCAGGCATCGGCCTGTGCTGGTAATGACTGGGTCCTGAGTAACCCAGGCTGTCAGGCTCAGGGCCCAACAGACATCATTGTAAAACAGAGAAAACTGCCGCTCTTGGGAAAGAATGAAGACCACCAGTCCGCTTCCACCCCGCTGTAAATCCAGGAAGCCTGAGCGTATTCTTGGCTAATAGCTTTGGCCGCCTAAACCGGGCCCTCTCTCTGGGCCCCCGTTTCTCCCTTCTATCAGTCCCTGAGAGGATGAGATGGGGCCCTTTACCTTCCCAAGCTCTGTCAGCTCCGTCTCCGGTTACAGCACGTGACCAGTTGCCGACAGCCATGGAAGAGTGTTGAAAAGGAGGTTTGAAATGGTGAATGCTTACACCTTGTTCCCCCACCAAGAAGCTTGAAATTTCACATCGTTGTGCACCGGGCGCGACAACCTCTCCTCTGTGTTCGCCTTAGGGACGAACTGGAGAGCGCGCCGGGGGGGTGGGCAGTCTGGAAATTGTCATATTGGCAGCAGTGACTTTCTAAGTGCTCTTACTGTATTTCCAGCCCTGCCAATTTTAGGCAATTTGTCCAGAGGAGATATCATTCAAGAGATTTACATAATGCTTCTCCCCTAAGGGCGGTGGGCACGTCCTCCACAGAGACTGGCTCCTGCAGCCGCAGGACCCGGGCAATTTCTTTATGAGTGAGTCACAGGAGGCAGCCACCCTGCTCCAGGCTCTCTCCACACAGCCTCTGACAGACGGACAGCGCTCCACCTGCGGCCGTTCATCTACGTTGAGGGTCCGGCTTGGCCTAGTAGCTGTGGGGCTTGGTGCTTGCTGCGGGGAGCGGGGATTGTCATTGCCAAGGAAGACGTTGTGTCTTAAGAACTGATGCAGCGACGTGGAAACTGGGAAGCCATTCGTTGACAAAACCCTCCAGTAGATGCCCAGGGCTGCTTTCATCCCAGGGGAGTCTCGGGTTGGGGCGTCACCGTCGATTCTCTGTGGGTGGACCCTCCCAGGCTCCCCGGCAGCCCTCGCTCTGGACTCCAGACTGGGGCTCTCTCTGGTGGGCATGTTCTCCATGTGGCCGCTGAGACCCCCGAAAAGGACACTATCCACTGAGGAAGTGGTCTTTTCGGGTTTCCAGCCTTGAACTCATTTCTGAGCGCGCCATCGCGGTGCGGCCACAGAAGCCGAGAGAGTGTGGCGCCGCGTGCTGCAGCACGCTGCCCTCTGGAGAAAGGCCCTCTGAGCTCCCTGTGCCACCCCTACCCTCTTGGCATCTTGCGCCCATTCGCATCATGGAAAAAACCAACGGCCCTTTGCTGGCTAAGAGATACACACTTGCACATGTCTAGCGCTCATCCTCCGACCTTGTATGTGCATCAAAGTCCTTGAGGCACTGAGGGCTTAGGAAGTTCCTCTTTGGGGCCTGTTTGCTACTTTTCTTCCCGGAGTCTCTACACAACGTTCCCACCTGCACAGCTCACAACCAACACGTCAAGGACTCAGATCCAATGTTACAGCTCACAGGCAACAAGTCCAAGACAGACCTGTGGCTGGGAAACCTGCCCTTACTTCAGGGCTTCCCACCCCCCGCCCAAGGCATCAGCTACTCTTTCCAGGGGTCATCTCGGCCACTACTTCTTCCCTCGCCTCCACCGCCACTCAAGCTCCCAGGCCTGTCCACTTCCCCTCTAAAGACTCAACCCTGCTGTTCGCCCTTCTCCGTTTCCCACACCCCCAATTCAAGTCCCACCACCTGTCCGCCAGTGTGTCACCTGTGGTGGCCAGCATGTTGCTGTGATGAAGCTATGCCACCAGGATTGCAAGTGCCAGTAGAACCGACCACGGGGGACTTCCAGTCCAAGGCGAGCCAGGAAGAAAGGCTTATCAATCAACTTCCAAAAAGCATCCCGTGGAAACCCCGTGAATCGCTGTGTGATGTCTGACACAGTGCTGGCAGGTGTGCCTGCGAGGGTGGAAGACACTCGAAACACACACTGACCACCAGAAAAACTGGAGGGTGCCCAGCGCCCACTGTGGACTGCTCCAATCATGACAACAGCAGAAGGCCCTGGGCAGAGAGGGAGAAAAAGGTGTGGAACAAAATTCAGAACCATCCAGGAGAAACCACATTTCCTGCTCAAGTAGAGATGGGCGGAAACCTCAAGTTTTAGGCAACCCTCAGGCACCCTTCAAGCTGGGAACCGAACCAACTCCCAGGGATCAGCCTTCGGACAATCAACAGATGGGTCCCTAATGCGAACCCTAACGGCCCCCAGAAGAATGGACTCCTCTGGACGCTCACTCACTGTCATCAAGTCGATTCCAGCCTCGCACGGCCCTACAGGACAGGGTAGAACTGCGGGTTTCTGAGACTCTACCTGTTTATGGGAGTAGAAAGCTACGTCTTTCTCCCAGAGCGGCTGGTGGTTTCAAACTGCTGACCTTTCCCATCACAGCCCAGCATGTAGCCACTACACCACCAGGGTTCCTTAAAAGCCCAAAAGGGCAGCGGTTGTCCCCCAAGGTAGGAAGGGTGGGAGCGGAAGATGAACGGAAGCAGGGAGCCCAGGGAGGACGTGGAAGAGTGTTGTTACCGTGCGGGAATTGCAACCGATACCTTGGAACAATACCTGGGTCAGCTGTGGAGTGGGAACAAATGCGGTGCACCGGCTCACCCAACCAAGTCTTCACGCAAACCACTGTGCTTTTGTTAAGTGCAGATCTCAACATCGGAACTCAACCCAAACTCACTCCCAGAGGAGCCAAGTCCAGCCTGCTGGGTCCCCTGCTCACCTGGCCCACTCCGTCTCCAACCACACTGCCCTTGGCCCCTGCACTGTCCCCAGTCCTGCTTTACCTGAATGAAGAGCTGTGTAGATGAAACGGAGTGAATGGCATTAGCATTGAATGAGATCATTAAAAAAAAGGCCTTCGGAGGTTCCCAGATTCAAACAAGAACAACAAAAAGCTAGGCTTTCCTC